AATGTTGGCTATATTATTTCTACAATATATATAAAAATGTAATATAATGAATTAATCAAAACTTAGCTTTCACTCTACTCAAACGGAAGCGTTTTTACTTCATTTGAAAAAAAACAAAGAAAAGAACGTGGTAATGATGTCGTCAAGTGACGTTACTGGTATATTATGCATTAAATTATAGTTAACGACATGACAATTGTCAAGGAATGTGATATTCAAATCATAGATATAATTAAAAATAAATAAATGATAAGAGAAAATAATGTGAACATAATAATATATTTTTTTCAAATCGGCCTCTTTTTTGATATTTTCCTCTGATCGGCCTCAAAAATCAACATTTTTTTCGCTGTCCCGTGGGCAAAATGCTCACCTGGTCTTATGGCCAGTCCGCCTTTGGGAATATTATTTATGCTAAAGTATTTTTTATTATATGCAAACATTTAAAATAATTTTACATAGTCTAAGATATAAGCAATTTAGTGTGTTCATAAAAAATAAGAGCCCCTCCCCAAAAATCCATTACGACACTGACGTTTGATAGAGGCTATAATAAAACCAAATATAATAATACTTTTAATAAAGATTATAATAAAGTAAAATATTATAAATGTGAGTTTAGTCATTACCAAGAAGATGTCCAGCCACAAAAATAAAAATTGATCATTATGCAGTTTCTTTTAAACCAAAGAACTTAAATTATATACGAGTGTTATCAAGTGATTCTATTCATAATATATGAAAGTTCAATAAAATCGAGTAAAACTAGATGCAGTGATATCGGTTAGATGTTGAATTTGATTTTGACCCTGGTGTGCAGTCGTTATTACACGGAGTTGATATATGGACAAGTATTGTACGATCAAATATTAAGCTAACCTGTCTATAGACCGCATAAGGTGACTTAGATGTTGTTCAGGAAGAGACCCAAGTTAATGATTAGATTGGAGCACTGACAAGGACCCTACTTGTAATAATAATAATGAACACTATAATGAAGCATTTTTTTCGTACTATCATGGATAGTAGAGTTCAATTTAGGAATGAACGCTATCAAATTACGATAAAACAAGTGCAGAATTCGGTTTAGAAAGTTTTGTTGGACCAATCTAAAACATTAAATATCGAAATTAACAAAGAAATTGTTGCGTAGCAGTAGATTCAAGATTTCGATAATTGGTTAGTAAACAGCTAAAGATGGAACATATATGTGATTTGTTGTGAATACATTTAAAGGAGAGAGCTGTATCAAGATCGTTTTCCAGCCCGTAAGAGTATAATTTCCACTTCATAAAGCAATTGAAATAGAATTAGACCGACTAGTGACTGCAGGAATTATCGAAAAGATGGATTCGACTACAACTACGGTACAATGGTCAACGCCAACCGTAAATGTGCGCAAGAGTAATGATGATATTCGAATTTGCGCTGATTCCAGTTATGTTTAAACCGTGATTATTGTATGACTATCATGTTTCCTACCTTAGACGATTTGCTAAAGAAAATCCAGGGTATTATAAATTTACAGTGATAGATTTGAAGGAAATAGAATCGGAGTCTCAGGTTCTAACAATAGCGACTTATAAGAGTCATTTTCGCTATCAACGAATGCCTTTTGGATTGGCAAGTGCACCTAATATATTCTAGATATATGGATAAGTTGTTAAAAGATGTCAAATGACCGGTGCATATTTAGATGGTTAATTATTTACGGTTGAAACGATAAGCATGCAAATCGCGTTAGACAGATTACAGATGCCTGGTTTTAAGAAGGAAGTTAGATTTTTACAAAAATTATATTTTTAGGAGTGATTACTGATAAATTCGGTATACATACTAATCTTGAAAAGACAAAGGTGATCCAGAATTCACAAAAACCTAATAATATACAACAACTTAGATCTTTTCTAAAATTCATGAATTATGAAGTTTTATTATCAAAGCGATGTGCCTGGATGGTGAAAGAGGAACATTCTTTTGAGAATAAAAAATTAATTATTGTCATCCGTTGAAACGTTAATTCCTTCAACATGCATTAACCGATAATTTTGAAATGCGACACTTCTGATTCAGGATTAGAAGTTGTGTTCTTACATTAGCAGATGGAGGGACAGAACCTATCTCGTTCACGTCGAATTTTATTAGAAACAGAGAAACAAATGTTTTGATTAAAGAAGTTCAAGTACTTTTATTTAGAATTGAAAAAAAATAATTCATTTATGATAGAAATTTATTACTCCAAACTAACCACAAGCCATTAAAGCAATTATTTGGGAGAAACTGGATCTACCTAAAATTTCTAATAATCGTTTGACTCGTTGGGCTTAGAAGATAGTTTCTTATGATTTCACAATCGAATATAGGTATTGAAGTAAAAATGTGATCGCGGCATTATCAAGGATTCCGATATTGGATGTAGAAGAGAATCAAATTCTCAACATGCTTTGGAGCTTGGAAGGATAAATTTGAATGACATGCATCTATTAGGATAGTTTAAGAAAAGTGTAGATGAAAACTTAACATTAAAGAAGAAGCATATTCAGCTAAGTTCTAATCATCATAAAGATAAGGTAATTGTTAATTTTCAAGGAAAAAGTTATCTGGCGATCTAAATATAACAGAATTTGCTAAGTTTGGAATACCTAAGTATATTGTGTCAGATAATGGACAAATTATATAAAGGCAATTCCGTCTTTACTGTGAATTAAATAAAATAAGTCATATACGTTCAACACCCTATCATCCTAAAACATATGGATTCGCTGAACGAACCATAGGAACTGTGAAAAGTTGATATTATGCAACAAGTCAATTTTGGCATAAGTTTTAACCAGTGGCGTAGCTACGGGGGTGGTTTTCGGGTTTGGACCCCTCCCAGAGCAAAAATTTTTTTTTAGATTATACGTTCAAAAGACTTAAAAGTGACTTTATATCAAATAAATACAAATAATATATATATTTTTTTTTGGTTTTGATGTTTGTGAAAGGATATTATATTACTATTGAAATTATTCTGGGTAGTATTATTATAAAGTCATTGAGAACAATCTACTAAATTATAATAACATATTATTGATGCATTTAAAAAATATATTTATTATATATTATCGAATATATGGTGCTAGGCCTACAAAAAAACGAATCGAATAATTGCGCTATTCGTATTCGTACGAATAATAAAATCATTATTCGTTTCGATTCGAAAATTTTCTAAAGCTTATAAAATATTTTGCAAAAAAATTTTTACAGATGTTTAAAAAGATGGCACTTTTAAGGATTCTCTAAACTAATTGTCATTTTTGCATATAAAATATAACAAAATTTTAGAAAGTATTTCATTATAGATTTTATTTATTAAAAATACTTTAGTAGCATAAATTTCCTTTATTTAATTATTAATATAATTTTTAGAGGTGATTATGACAATGTAATAAAGGATGAAGATATTATAATGCACTATCTGAATTAGATTGTCTTTAAAATTTGCCAAAAATAAGGTTACTAAATGGGAAAAGGATTTTCCTAATCAAATAATAAGAACTAGTCAAAATAATTTATTTATTTATCTGCCAGGAGCTCGAGAATATGGGAAAGAGGCACACTTTATAAAAATGTTTTGACTTGTTCATAACATCAAAAATGATTAAAGAGAAACAATCAAAATAAAATAATTATATTTTACTTTGAAGCTTTTCCTTTTCTTCCATTAAACTTTTTCAGCAAATATAACTTGTTATGATTTGATATTTGATAATAGGAAATAAAATAAAAAGAAATGATATCCACTAGGAAAATTTAATTACTTCTTTTTATTTTACTTGCAATAAAATATTTGCGAATAATTACGAATATTTATATATAAATAATTTCGAATACGAATAATTGTGTTATTTGTATTCGTAAAATACGAATCGAATATCAAATAATTCGTTTTAGGCCTATATGGTGCCGGGTAAAACGGCCGAAGTCCCGTTAAAGGGAGTCTGGGAGGCGAAGCCCCCAGGCTTTCATATGTATGGACCCCCTCTAAGGAAAATTCCTAGCTACGCCACTGGTTTTAACTATCTATCTCTGGGAGAGCATAGCTCAAAGGGAGATTTCCTTGCAAAATTATGTTTAAGACAATTGAAAACTAATTTGGATTAGATAAGAAATGTAGAACATATTGAAAAGACAAATGAGAGACAAAGTCAAAATCATGATTTGCATTCAAAAGAGAGTGAATTCGAATTTTCATGACTGTTTGGTTAAACAATGAGAATACCAAAGGTTGGAGAAAATGTGCGATAAAAGAGAGGACATGGTTTAATTCTTATCATATATTGTCAAAACTCCCAAAAGAACATTGCGGAAACATGCAGATCAGCTAAGAGATCATTTAATTATTTCAACTCATGAAAGTACATTAGAAGTTATAGAAATAAATTATGCCAGTAAATAGAGCAGGTACATATACTACATTATATTGTTCATAAAGTATAAATACAAAAAGATTTAATTACAATGATTGGGTGAAATGTAATAATCGAGTATTATTTTTTAAAAAAAGGAGCATTCTAGAAATTGATTATTATTATTATATCTTAAATGTAGAAATTATTTTATCTTATTGATTTTGAATAATGAATGCTTATATATGATAAAGTCTCTTACTAGTTATTTAATTAGTTACCAGTTTCCTATTTATTGTACCTGTGTAATTCCTTATAAGTGAATGGAAAATATTTTCATATTGTAATCATTAGAATAGTTAATTGTGACAATCCTGAGACATATTTATATCTCATTTTAAAAAGTGAATTTATAATTATGGGCGAGATCAGCATTATCTCATTGCCAAAATATTAAATGTTAATATTATTTTATGAGTTTATAATTTAATATTTTATAAATTCTTGTTATATTCTCTAAAAAATTCTTATGATTTAACTAGAATATTTTGCTGTTAGCTAAGATACTTAACTAATTATACTCCATAATATCATTAATTTATAACATGATACTGTAAATACTATTTATTATATTATATACATTCAAGAAATAGTTGCCAAATAATCTTTGATTTCACTATTTTTAAGCCTTCTAAATCCATCTTTACTACAAACACCAATTTCTATATTAGCCTCTGTAATTTGTCCTTCAAAGTTTTCTTTTAATGTTAAAATTGCTGTGTGAATAGCATCTTCCAATTCAAGATCTTCATTATATCTAAATATTATATAATATTACTTCTGAAAATTTATTCAATTAATGTAAATAGACATAAGTAAATACTTTGAAAATATATAAATAAAAATATAATAATTATTGATATAAAATTATTATATATAAAAATTACCGCTTCTCCAAAAAAGTTCGACCATTTATGCAATTTTTTCCTAATGCTGTAGCTTTCCAGGCAAAATAGGCACCCTTTATTTTATCTATATAAAGATATATAAGGCACAAAAAGTTACTGATGGATCACATTGATATAAAAATGGTTTGTTTAGATCATTATCCCATCCAGCAATCAGAAGAGATACCCCAAATGGTCTAACACCACTATTAAGAATGTAATAAATTGTATTAAAGTGAATAATCTTACCCAGATTGTGTATAATTTTGAACAACAGCTGCAATCTTTTGAACCAATTGATTTGGTGAAACACTTTCACCATATACTAATTGGTATTGTTGAGCCACTTTCCTACCCTCCTTGACTAGCAATCTTAATTATATTATAAGGGTATGATAAAATGATAATTATTAACCTAAAATCAGGACCTAATCCACTGTATGTTATTCCACAATTACTTGACAATAATTCAACCTTTCTTACACTTGATTCATCATATAAAATAGATTTAAATTTTTTTTCAGAAGCTAATACAACTCCATTTCTCGCTAAACTATGAGTAAATAATAATTTAAAATTAATACTTTACCTTTTATCCCAATTGAAGGTGCTCCTGCAGCTACAGCAGCTAAAGCATATTCTATTTGGACTAATTTTCCTGATGGGCTATATACGCAAATACAATTAATTACCAAGGATTATTAGTTTAGTACCTAAATGTAGTAAGAGAAAAAGAATATTTTTCACTCATTGAAATAAGTAAATGGCGAGTAAAATGAAGATATTGGCCATAAAATTGAGTGACATGAGGAAATGTGACAGATGGGAAATTTTTTTGTGACTTATCTTCAAAAATATAGAATATGAATGAATAGGCTGATAATAGGTCATCATTAGCCTTTTTTTTATTTTCTAAGAGTGTACGCGATTTTATTTATGTTAAAACGATATATAACCAATATTCTTACTACTATCCTAAACAATAATTATATTTTCTAAATTGTTAAAATGTAAATGAGACGGTGTTGTAATTGTTAAACCAAATTACGAAGCCGAAAGATATTCAAATCTACTCAAGAAAAAATAATTAAATTTCGAATGCAAATGATTTAAAGAAAGATGAAAAAAGAATGATTATTCAAATTAAAGAAAGTTCAAGATTTTTTTCAGTTTGTAAAACATAATGTAAATGAATATTATAGAAAAGTATATATATATTCGAGGATATTTGTATAGGGGAGATCATGATTTTAGGAACTTAATTATAATTTTTAATTTTAATTTTTGATTATTTTAATTTTTTTTAATTTAGTTGATTATATTTTTAACTTATTATTTATTAAAGATTTAGTATCATTTTAGTTCTAACTTTTCTGATTTGACGAATATTATAGAAAAATATATATAATCGAGGATATTAGTCTGATTTAGTATCATTTTCGTTCTAACGAGGATATTAGTCTGATTTAGTATCATTTTATTCTAACCTTTCTTATTTGACAGACGATATTTTGATTAATTTTATAAAAGAAATTGAATAAAGAATATTAGAATATAAGCTCTCCCACTAATTTCGACCTTAACAAATAAAGTAACACAGTTTACTACACTGGTGTTGGAGAGCGGAGGAGACCGACCCTTTACAATAATTCAGTCTCTCCCACTAGCCTCAGCTATATAAATATCAATCCCATATTGGTACAGACAGTATTAAGATGTAAACCCTTTGATAAAAAAAACAGGGTCCTGGTTCGGATCTGGTTCAGAGTTAAAAATTTTAAAATAGGGTTCAGCTTCAGAGTTCGGTTTCAGGGTTTAGTATAAAGAAATAAACTGAATATTAATAAAATAATATTTTTTTTATCTACTCCATATATTTTACTAGAAAAAATTTAAAAATTTCTATCTCATATTCATTATTTTTATGCCAAAGCTATCGGTAAACTTTATAATTACATAATTGGTTATATTTTTTTAATTAAATTGAAAATGTTCCAATATTTTACTTTCTAAAATGGATATAAAAACAAAATAAGCAATGTATTCCTATTGTATTACTAGCATGTCAAATTATCATTTATATTAGAATTTTACCTATAAAATGGTTGAAAAAAAATGGGAAAAAATATTTAAAAAAAACAAATGTGCTTGCCTCAATAATACCGAGTTTATCCCAATACCCTAGGCAGGTTCGGTAGTGATGCTCTCAATTTTATCAAAACTATAGGAAAAAATATAAGACAGATTTCAGGGGACCCCAATGAAGGATTTTACCTTCGCCAGCAGATTTCCCACTTTTCTCCTAGGTGATTTGTACCCTTTTTTTAAAAAATTTTATTATTTTATTTATCTCATTACTCTTTTATACATACATATTTTTTAATTCATTTTTAATATATTATTGGTTTTTTTATATATTTTTTTTTATTTATAATTTATAAATGAAAAATTTGTGAAATTTGTTATTTAAATAAAGTATCTCAACCTTGGAAAAAAAAAATTATTAATTGAGCCCTCAACTTTTTAAAATTAGTTTAGATCTAGGCTCAGAACATGAGAGTTCGAGCACAATAGAGGTCAGCAATTAGCGGATTTTTAGCCAAAACCCGCCTACTCGTTGTTCTAAATCTTTTTTACCCATCTGTTGGTCCCTTAATAATTTTTTATAAAAAATAACCCTCTCCCGTCACATGTTTAAAAATTATAGTAATGACTCATAGGCGTAGCCAGAATTTTCCTAAAGGGGGAATAAAAAATTACTGGCGCCTTCGCTCCCAGATCCCATTTTGGGCGGGCCTTAGGCCGGGTTACCTTAGTCTATATATAGTCATAAAATAATTTTACAAGATACAGTCAAAACCGTTTAATTGCAAAAGCTTGGGACCGAAATATTTAAAAATTTCGCAATTATCCGATTTTTCGCAATTATACGATTAAAATTCAACAATTTATTTATTAAAAATCAGTTTGTGTTTTTATAAAGATATTTATCATCTATATATATTTTAATCATATAAGCCATCAAACTTTGCAATAAATACAATTTTTAGTTAATGTAACCAACTATATATTTAAATTTGAATAAGTTATGTAACGAATAAAAAAAAAATAAATTTTAAAAATTTATCTTATTTGTTGAAACATATGATCATAGCTTTTTTTTCTTCCCACCAATAATCCTATATTTTTATCGTCAATTCATCAAGTTATTATTTTATAAAAAGTATTCAGTTAATTTAGATCAATCAAATAATATTAAAATATCTGAAGCACTTGAAAGTAATGTGATATATTTTGATATATATATTTATATTTTCTTTAGATCTAGACATGATTATAGACAGAAAGGAACAAAGAAAACAAGACTTTTAATTATAAAATGATTGCAATTATTTATGTATTAGCATTCTAGTTGTTAATAAATTATTTTTTATTGAATAAAATTATTTCAAATTAAATTTGTTTACTTGATTTTATCTCATTTTTTCAATGATATTTTTTATTTAAGATATGTAAGAATTAAAGCAAAAAAAAGCTTTTGTGGAAAATAATAACATTTTTTCCTTTACAATACCCTAATATTTATTTCCATTAATTTTAACTACTTTTGTTATTTTACCTTCATTAAATTTACTGAAATATAATTTTACACTATTTACTCCAGAGTCTAGCCAAACTCATATCACAAAATATTTTTATTAAATCTTACATTACTTTATAATAATTGTGATGCATGTATAATAAAATTAGTTTGAATAAAATCTTATGTTAACAAAGCATTAATAAACTTTCATTCCAACATGGTCTGTTAATACATTTACATTTATAATATTCGAATTCATAAGATTTGAATAGGCACAGGATTTTAAATCAAATATCATGTGAATGAAAACAAAACACTTAATAAACTTAAATTCTTTTATATTAATCTTATTGTTTCCAGTTTTTTAGGCAAAATATTTTAAAATTTGGCTTTAATAATAAATTAGAATTTAAAAAGTGATAATATATTTATTCTTTTTCCACAATATTCTCTTGCTTTCTTAGTGAATCTTGATCCCTTAGATGTTCATGAGCATATTCAAGAAAAGTATAATAACCATTAAGAGCCTGATTTTTTGTAATTAAATGATCAGATATCTCTAGGTTTCCTTCGTCATTCTCGAAGCTTTCATAACCTTCTATAAAAAATAAGATAAATAAAAAATTTTAAGTAATTAAACCTTCCAACTCTAATCTTATCTGATTACAAATATCCTGATCATCCAAAATTTCATGGCAGCTAGCATCATCATCGTGTAACGCATATTCTTCAAATATGGGATCAAATTCATCTTCTACGTTGTCAGTTAGTGCTATATCATCCTCCGATTCCCAATCAAATGCCATAGACTTATCAAAAAATTTAGCTTCAATAAAACATTTTATGATTGTGGTACTTGTCACCTCACCCCATGCAAATTTTATAAGATAGAGGCTATCATAGAGTGCAAATCTTTTATAAAAAGAGCTGGTGTCATTTCCTTCCATCAATGTTATCATTTTTCTCATGATACCCTATCTATAATGACATTTAAAGGATCTAATTGCACCCATGTCCAAAGGTTGAATTAATGATGTTGTATTTGCTGGTAAAAAAATTAATTTTATATTGTTAAATGTTAATTCTGTTTTGTGACAAGATGCATTTTCACAAAACAATAAAATTTTCTTCATTAATGAGGAATCCCATTCTCTTAGGATATCTTCAAAAGTTGAGGTTGTCATCCAGCTGCTTTTATTGGAGTAGTATTTTACTGGTAATTTTTTATTTTTAAAGCACCTAGGGTTTTTAAATTTCCCTACAACATATAACTTTTTATCAGATCCATCCCCATTTATGATAAATAGAACTGTGACCTTTTACTTGTCTGGTTTAAAGCCCAGTGGTTGAGTTCCACTAAATTCCATTGTGCCCTTTGGTAATGCTCGGTAGTATAGTCCTGTCTCATCACAATTGTAAATATTACTCCTTTGATAATCTTTAATCATAGATGGGAGTGTATTTCTGCTTATTCATTTGCATTAATAATATCTGCACTCCCCTTTTCATTGCAAACATTATGAAAATTTATATTCTGTCTTTTCCTAAATCTCTGCAACCTGCTGCTAGTAGGAATGCCTATAATTTATATATATATATATTATAAAAAAAACGTATAATTACCTTCATTGAATGTTTGACTAAAAAATATAGCTTTTTCTAACATCACTGGCCCATTTAGACTGCAATTTTTACTTCGCATTTGGGTAAACCAAACCAATAAAGCTGCTTCTGTCTTTGGGTAACAACTCATTCTAACTCTTTTAGTTGTAGGAGGTTTATTCCTTAGAAATTGTGAGCATATATTTTCTTTATTCGCTATTAAACGGTAGATTGTCGAGACGTGGCAATTGTAATTTGATGCTAATTGTGTTTTTGATGTAGTGTTTAATTTATCAATTATTTCTTTTTTATGCTTCAGGGTTAGAGTATGGAATGTTTTTTTTACCATTTTTATATTAATTTCTGGGGTGGTAATGAATGAATGAATGAAAAAAGGTTAAATAAAAAAAATGATGAATAATTTTTTTTGATAAATTTTTTTTATTTTTTCACTTATCCGATTAAATTAACGTTATTGTCATATAAATGGGACCTGAAAAATTTTGCAATTATAAATGTAATTTAACATTATACCATAATAATTATTATCAAAATCGTGGGGTTTTTTAGCATTTAAAAGTTTTTGCACTTAAGCGATATGCAATTAAACGGTTT